ACATGGTTTGCATTTCTGCAAACCAGCCCTAGACGTTGATACTAGATCCCAGCAATGGCCTTGTGAGTTCTACCAGGATTATCTTCTTGTTTTCTTCTGTGGAGCACACCATAATGTCTGGAGATATTTTACTTAACAAAATGTGAGGTACTGTACCTACATTTTGATACTTGGGGCAGCGGCTTCTCGCCTCAAGTGGGGCACATTTTCCGGCTTAACTCTCCAGACCTTCTGCTAAAAACTGATATTTGGTCCATAATAAATGTAAAAGGGGGCAAGGTGTGTACTTTTTGCCATATGAGTCATTGGTGTGCGGAGTACCTGTGAAGAAATACCACATAGTTTGGTCAGAGTGTGAAGAGAAGTTTTATTTTCTCGTTGCCTACTTCAAACCCAGCTTTACTCAATAACAGATTTGTCTGTAATATTTCATCCATTAGCAGCTGTATAGAAACACCCCAGATATCCAGGGACGGTTTGGGTTTGGATTTGGGACACACACACACACACACACACACACACACACACACACACACACACACACACACACACACACACACACACACACACACACACACACACACACACACTTATGGTCAGATCAAGAGTTTGAAAGTACTGACAGACTATAAGGGACAGGTTACAGAGTCTTGGAGCAGATATGGACTTGGATTCAGTCCAGACGGGCTGCCGTGCCAACTGTCAGCCATATTACACCGCTAACAAAGAATGCAATAAGTAATAGCTAATTAAATCAAACTGGGTACACTCTTAGAAACTAACACCACCCCACAGCTTATATTTCAGTTTTCGTGTCACACTGTGGAATAATTTTCTTTAGTACTGACTTCTAAAGCACTTCTCTCATTCTCTGACACACAAACACACACGCACGCAGATGTCCACACAATCACAGATGCCAAAACCCGCTCGGTCAGTCACCTCAAAGGCAACATGTTGTACTGTAATTAAAGTACATTAACACGTGCACCACAACAGGTTTTTTCCCTTCGGGATGAGAGGTTTTAAAGAGTTTCCCTCATAGAGTATTCTGTATCATTATATCCCTCTCCCTTCGTTTGATGTGCTGATCTTCAATCACCCTGCAGTGGAGGGGTGAGGAACATCAGAAAGCTTTACACTCCGGCAAGCTCGGGTTTCAGGATGCTGTAACTTTTTGAACTTTAAGCTGTTTCCATGGGATTTTCAACTTGTGGGGGAGAATCTTATTTCTTGTGACAGGTGACCGGAGAGATGTGACAGAGTGCTGATCACGGAAATGGCTAAACTGAAAGTTAGGAAGTAGGATGGTAGTTTTAAAAGTTTGGTGTAGTCCCAATGTGTATACCATAGTTGCCAGGGGTTATGTGGAAAGATCTTAAAGTGATTTAACTCATTTAAAAAAGGTAGGCGTGTGGCGCAGTGGACTAGTGCGTTCGGATCAGGGCAGCACAGGTTCAAACCCCACTGCAGTCAGCATGTCGTTGTGTCCCTGGGCAAGACACTTCACCCCAAATTGCTCCTGTGGGGATTGCCCACAGTATTGAGTATGTAAGTCGCTTTGGATAAAAGCGTCTAACAAGTAACATGTAATGTAATGTAATGTAATAGTCCAGTGAGTAACTCAGTCTAGCCAACAAATAATGGACAAATGGCTGAAATTGACACCAAAATATATCTCTGTGCCTCTATTTACCTCCACGTGGTGACTTATCATTTCTTATGATGGGTTCAGTATGCTGTAATAATTGTACCTGCCCCTAGTTTTTCTGTGTCATTTTGGTACAGCACATTGAACAGTTGTAGAAACGTGTATGGAATTAACATAAAGTGATATCATTTAGATTTTCTTTCAAATCTTCTTTCTTTCTAAAGTTTCTCTCTAAAACACAAAGGCAATAAGACTGTCCTAGTTGATATTGTACTATTTTTTATGGAGTTCCAGTTTTGCTTTGTAGCCCTAAACCCAAAACATTGGTTTACACAGTATACAGGAAGCTATATTCCCTATTTGGGCCCATTGGCAGCTTTCCTTAGTTGAAAGAAAATAAATATTAAAGTCTGAACATGCGATTGAATGACATAGACAAATTACTTTTGCAGCGACCAAAACATGGTTCAGTGATACGACAAGGGCGAAGATTGTGGTACTGTGTACGTAGGTATGAATGTGTGTGTGTGTGTGTGTTGTGTGTTGTGTGTGTGTGTGTGTGTGTGGTGTGTGTGGTGTGGTGGGTGTTGGGTGTGTGTGTGGTGTGTGTGTGTGTGTGTGTGTGTGTGTGTGTGTGTGTGAGAGATCAGGCTCTATCCATGACGTTGTCCAGCCCCTGGCAGTGGAAATGGTCTGAGGTCTGACTGCCATGGAAACTGCCCATTGGGCCACGGTGGGGAAGAACATCACACACACACACACACACACACACACACACACACACACACACACACACACACACACACACACACACACACACACACACACACACACACACACACACACACACACACACACACACACACACACACACACACACACACACTCTGTTTCTGTTGGATGGCTCTGCAGGAATTCACTTATTTGTGGAAATGTTAAGAATTCAAGCAATGAAGCTTAAAAACTGAATGTTAACCAAAAACTAAACACTTCCTGAGCGGTCGGGGTCACGCTGGTAGCTCGGTAAAACATTGCTCTTCTTACTTCTAATATATCTACATTTTTGTGTCATAAAATGGCATACAAATGGAACACTATTTAAATAATTTAAAAACGTATTATAAACACAAAGAAAACACATTAGCAGTGGGTATGAGACAGCGTGGAACAACCTTCCTCTTCCTCCTTCAATCTCTCTCCCACATGGCTGGCTCGCACTTTCCCTCAGCACACAATGGCCTCTCTGTTCCGACTGTTTAACCACTTTCTCACCTATCCTAAATGCTCACACTCTCACAGACACACCCTTGTGCACACACAAATAGACACAAATCAATGTTCATGTTTAGATCCCTATCAGCCACACACATGTTCCCCTACTTGCAAATACAGACACACATTCACAGCCAAAAAAGGGGAGAAGCAGCGATATTGCTGGTGTGATACCATCCTGAGGATGCCAGGGCTGTGCTGAAGTGTGGCACATGCCTTTGATGTGAATCCAGAGCATGGGCATGTAACAAACGCAGATATCAATGTACACCCTGTCCTGCTTTGATCTCTAAAGCGCCTGCTTCTACATAAGATGTGTGTGTGTGTTTGTGTGTGTGTATGTGTGTGTGTGTGTGTTTTTGGGTTTTCTTTTAGAATATGTGTGGGTGTTGTGAGGCTTATTATTTTGATGTGTGTGTATGTCTATGCCTGCACGATCAGCATTACGCAAGTATGGGATGGATGCATGTGTGTGTACGTGCATGCATGAGTGCAACTGTGTGATAAGATGGACTGTGTGCATTTGTGAGTGTGTGATTGTATGTGTGTGTGTGTGTGTGTGTGTGTGTATGTGTGTGTGTGTGTGTGTGTAAGTGAGTATACATTAAGATGTCATTTTATTTTTGCCTGCATGATCAGCATTAACACAAGTTTGTGAAGATGCATATGCAACCTTGTGCGATGTTACCGGCTGTATGGATGTGTGTGTGTGTGTGTGTGTGTGTGTGTGTTGCATAGTAGCTTATGCACTCAGTGAATTGGAGGGCAGTTACAGCGTTGACTCTTGGGGAAACTAATCCCTGGAAGAGGCTTGTAGGCACCTGGTAAAAACATGTTCCTGGAGACCTTCTCCCGAGTTTGTCTTGTCGTCACGTCGTCCGCAGTGGACTCCCCACTCTGCCTTTCGCAGCCGCCGATGATCAGGTTGCGTCTTGGATTTCCATCTGAACCACCCTCTAATCTCATGACAGTTGAGCGTGAACGGAACCACTTCTCAGCCCTGTAAGGTCACCCCTCGAATTAGCACAACACATGTTTATGTGTCCCTCATTACTTCAATGTGTCTGAGGTTTTGGATACACTGAGTGACGAAAGATACACTCTGAATCAAATATTGAGGTGGCATTATGTTGTAAATATAAATGTAATGGTTACTATAAGAGACTGTTTGGATACATGATGAGAGATGTGTGCCTTGAGATAAGCAACAAGAGGATCAAAATAACTGCATATCTTTGAAAATGTCATCCTTTAAAAGACTTATTTGCAACATAAGTAAAAAAAAAAAATTAGAAAGACATTTGCTTAGTTTTTTTATCATCACAAATCATGAACATTGCTGTCAACCTGCTTGAATGTCTAACCAAATTAAGCATGAAACATTGGTAGAAAAACACACGCATGGCTTTAAAAGGTATAATCATTATTTGCCAAAAGGTCACAGAATATTAGAACATTTCAAGTCATCATTTTAAAATCACAACTAACTATTACAAACTACAATTGGCACTGTTATGCACTGACACTTCATATAAGACTCAAGAACCAGAACGAAGTAAAACAGAGGTAAAATGTCAAATATACTGTAATTCAGAAAAAGACACCTTGGGCATCCTGGTAGCAGAAGGTCTAGGACATGATTGAACATGTGCCGCATATTGAGGATTGCCAGGGGATTTAGTCACCCTTTATTTCCTCTCTACGCTCGATATCAAATAAAGGCAAACATACCTGAAAAAACACCTAAAAGTAATATCCTGAGTTTCTCATGTAATCATTAAGGGATTAATACTTTAACAATTAACATCAACATGGAACGAGAAGCTCGCCATGTAGTTGGAAAAACAGTCCACATCACCTACAAGAACTTAGCATGTGTAAAAGCTAAATAGATGTTGTTGCTATGCTTTATGAAGTACGTGTAAACATCTCTTTTTCTTAGGTTGTGTGTAGCTTGTAAACACAGGCTGGGTTTGGGGGGTAATAACGGAGGTTGGTATTGCCTTGTAAAATACCACAAATTCAGTGTATTTCTCTGGAGGAAAACAACGACAATTTATCTCCCTGCATCCCCTTGTAAAAGCTGAACAAGTCATGCAGTGCTTGTAAATACCTCAGCAGCACAGGCAGAATAATGGGGATGATGAACAGTCCCACTTGATGGGTGTCTAGCGGCTCTTAGTGGTGAACTTCTGCAACGGAGAGACTTCACTGAGGTTGCATTACACGGTCCACTCACATGAGCAAAAAGGCATTCATGGAATTTATGTCCGTGTAATATATCTGGCACATTACTGCAAATACTGATAATAATCCTACTGCTATTCAGTGACCAACAACCACTATAACGCTTGTTTACAGACACATGTAAACACTTAGGACCTGCCAAAATGGCTGAGTGATGTAATGGAAACTATGCATGCACTGCTGACTCATCAAAATAGAGCGCAAATTATAAAGCAGCAGTACAATGTCAGCGTGTGTTTGCATCTGGGCATGAACACAAGAACTGTGGTTTTATTTGACCCATACAACAGAGGTCCCATCAGGTTTGGCTGTGGCTTCAAAAGAACTCCTCTTTAGGAAGAAGAACACAGATTTGTGAAAAAGGCAAGTGTCTGTTATACCTGAGCTACTTCATTTGGTATTAAACCAGGCACTTTGGATTTTTTAAATAAATACAAGTAAAGGACATTTGTGTTTTATAAATATGCTCAGTTGATCAAATTCTCACAAGATATTGCACATGCTGGACTCGTTGTTGTTGTAGCCATTACAGTTATTTTCTTTGTCGTTCAGATGATCAAACACACCACTGTTGATCATTTCCTTCTGCCATTGGATGGAGACTGCTCCTGTGCTGAACTTCTTGTAGAATTCCTCATCCCTTTGCTCAAACTGAATGTCTTCGACGATGGAGGATTCCATTAAAGGATTTGTGTCCTTCGCGTAGACCACGTTGGATTTGGGCACCCATGGCGGATCAACCAGCCCGGCCTCCAGACGGCGGAAATTGATGCTCTTGAAAAACACATGGTCCCGTGGATCGTCATTGACATTGCTTAAAAGAAACAAAAGACATTTAATGATTAGAGTGGGGAAAGAAGGTTATAAAAGCAGTAGGAAGGCGAAGGTATTAACCTGGGCAATAAAAGTGTTTGGATAGTTCATTTAAAGTGAACAAAACTGCATTATAGAACGATAACATACAGCTTAATATACTGTACATGTCTCTTTTAATTTATTTATACATTTCCATTCTTAACAGAGTTGCAGGACAGACAAATCCGCTTAAAAACAAACTAGAAAAGAACAATAGAATACAGATTCTAAAAGAGAAGCATTTACTTGGTCGAATACGACATTCTCTGCACTATTAAGCCTATTGCTTTATTTATTTCTGACATGTACATAGTTTACATCATCTGCATTTCTTGCAACATAATCTGCACTATTTTATTCTAATCTATTCTAATATTTTTATTTTTTAAATTAGTTTTATTGTTGTATGTCCTATATATATGTTATGTTGCATTGTTGGAGGAGCTCGGGATTTAAGATTTGAATTGCCATTTCTACTGTTGCATCTGTGCATATGACAATATAGCCTTTGAATCCTTACCACCCAAGTTACAACCCCTCAGGTGTTTTTACTTAACTTGCTTGATTAGACCCTCACTCTAGTCTACTGTTAGTTTAATTTGTTTATTTGTTGCACCTGTTGGATTAGGACAACCTTATACAGGCAGCCCTCAGTCAGACTGGGTGGCCAAAGGGCAAAACAACATCCTGCAAGAAGGGGAAAACTACAAGATGAAACTACGTAAGTATAACAAAATAATATCTTCTTAAATTAAAGGCAGTTCGATTTAACGTTGATGAATACACATAATTACTGAAGAACCAGTGGTACATGGAAATTGACATGTGCCACACATATGTGCCTGATTTACACACTAGGGAAGTATACTTAGTAAAGCCTGAAGGCAAGCAATAGCTTCACGATTGGTGGAAATTCGGATTTGTTAGCAAATAAAAAAATAATGAGGATTTTTGGAAACTATGAGCTTGTTTTTATGTAGCATACACTTTCTGTGTTTGTATTGCAAATTGCTTTATTTAACGAAAAAAAAGTTTACACAGAAAATTAATAAAAGACGATTAATAGTCAATAACTTTTTCATGTTTTACTTAAACGTCCAACATTATAGAAGTGCATTGGCTGCTACGAATCACCTTTTGGTGCCTGGAAGCCAGTTGTTTTTATGAACCTCAACAATACAATCATTTTCTCTTTTTTCAAGCTTTTTCAGTCTGTAAAAAATATCATTTGTATAGTCAAAAGCACAAAAGCATTTCCAAGCAAACTTAACACTTAAGCTTTCTGAACTGTACAACTTAATTTTTTGATGTCATTTTGAAAACAAAATTCTCCTTAAATGTAGAGAAGGGGATATGGGTCTTGTTGTTGTCTGTGCTCTGGCTGCAGTGGTTTATTTTGTTCCCTTCTGAATTCATCCAGGGTTGTAATTTGGAGGTTATTACTAGCAATAGGCTACTCTTATTTATTCAAAGACTGTATTGAACCAACAGCGTATATTTTTACTGCTACCGAAGAAGTGACATTTTTCATTTCCTTGACTGATGATTTGTTCCATGGCGCCTTATCCATAATATGATAATAAACTAGGGCTTTAGAAATGTGAAGCTTTCACTGACCGGCACCCAAGGCGATGCACCGACTTCTTCTTAAGAAAGCATCTGATGAGATCTTTGGAGGAATCATTAAAGTTTTTGTGTTTGAACTTGCAGTCATCCTCAAGAGTGCGACGAGTCACCTCATAATTCTGCACCTTTTCCCTGAAGTCTTTAAAAGGCAAACGAGCAGCCAGCATCTCATAGATGGTGCAGCCCAGAGACCACCAGTCCACAGATGTGCGATAGGCCTCCCTCTTTAGGATCTCAGGGGCCATGTAACCAGTCGTACCAGCCTGAAAACACAAACAGGGTGGAGAGAAAGAAGGATGAGGGAGATCTCATAAACATAAACCTTTGTTTTCGGGGCACTGGGGCCTACAGAACATATTTCTACTTGGACTTTTATGTCATCTTTGCATTTTTATTCAAACCTTAAATATTATTGGAAGATAAAACTGGTGATGAGGAGTCTCAGGCAAACTGAGGAACAACTGCTATGACCTGTAGCATTGTATGCACACTGAAAGAGAAATATTTAACAACAGGTTACACAAGTGCGGTGTGCAGATGAAAATTTGCTTTAAAGCTAACTGCAATCCAACACATCAGACGGTAATATTTACATCTGTTTTAGTGACTTTAAAATATGTATCACTCTCCTACAAAGACATTTTTGTTATTATTCTGTGTAGAGTTTTAGTTTGGAAACAAAACATACAGATAGAATAATACAATGTGAAACAATAAGACACTGTTGCATTAAAAAAATGCTGCATAACAGCATCAATCAGATCAGTGGGCATTATTGTTCACTCTGTATCTCCTCTGTTGTGAGTGAAGCCTGCTGAGAATCTCCTGACTCATCTCCTTAGACAGACACGTGGAAGCCATATCTGGTACTAGTAGAGCACAGATTAACCGGCTAATGCTAACAGGCTCTCTCAGTCCTCCATACATTGCTGTGATCAGCCAGTGTAGCGTCCAACTGGGGAGAAGGTCAGGCCCCTTTTAATCAGATTAGGTTGAGTCCAACAAGGTCATGCTGTCTTATGTTGTCTGTCAGACGTCAGAGCAGAAATAGGAATAATCATTTCTATTTCCGGTAAACTGCTTGTATTGGTGGGGGAACAATTATGCAGTGAAGTAGTATAACACATAGCAAATATTGATAAACGAATGAGAAAACCAAGCAAATATTCGATATATTAACAGTTTGATTAGGATGGAGGTTATGTTGTGTCGCACAAATCTAATCAAGGCTTTGTACAGGGCACTGCAGTGTCAATGTATGATGGCGAGCACTGCAGGTTAATCTGGGACATGTCACCACACCTACCATCTGGCAAACCTTTTTGTTCTTTGGCAGCTCCATAGCCAATCCCAGGTCTGACAGCCGACACTGTCCTTTGGCATCCAGAAGCACGTTCTCAGGCTTCATGTCCCGGTACACTATGTCCAAAGTGTGCAGGTGAAGAATCCCAGTGGTTATCTGGGCGGCGTAGTAAACAACACGCTCCACACACATACCTCGCTCCCCAAGTTCGTATATGTGGAAATGTAGGTCTCCTCCATTCATAAGGTCCATGACCAGGCACAGGTGGTTCTTGTTGTCGTAGGCATAAGCTAGGTTCACAATGAAGAGGCTGTTGACCTGTTCCAGGATCCGCTTCTCCAGAAGGGCAAGCCTCTCGCAACCTTTCTTCTTCAAGCACCTCTTATCCAGTTTCTTGCAGGCGTACATCTGGCCTGTGTGTTTGACCTGCACTGCACACACCTGCAAGACAGAGGAACATTCAATGTTATAACTGTTGCTGTGGCATCCTTACATTTGTTTCTAATAATTTTACTGGGATTTTAAAAAGTAAGACAATGCAACTTTTACTTAACAATGGCCATTCTGCATACATGTTCAACAATAAGATGCTGGGATTTGTTGAACTTACCTCACCAAAACCACCTTTTCCCAAAGTCCTAAACTCATAAAAGTATCTGTCATTGATTTTCTGCTTCTCGTACTCCTTCCACTGCAAGAACTTGTAAAAATAAGGGCTATCTAGATACTCCACGAACGGTTTGTCCCTCAGCAAGTCTCTTGTGGCTTCTCGTAACTCGTCCAACATCTCCTCATCAAATCTTTGGATTGATAATACCATGCATATTCCAGCTGCCTCTCCTGTAAAGTATGAGACAAAACTCCTGGACCCGGGCTGAAAAAACTTAGCAAGGATTCCCTGTTTGGCCTTCTCTCTGGCTTCTTTTTCAGCAAAGCTCCAGTCACTAAGCTCCAGCAGGAACTCAGTGGCGACCATGTACTGAGAGTTAGAGGCCAGGAGAAACTGCTGAAACAACTTCTTCCCAATGGGCTGTTGCTCACACAGTGACTCGTAATTCCTCCCCACTGAAGCCTGGAGATCGGAGGACATCCTTGGTTTGGGCAGCGAAAGAGATATCCACTGATCTCTGAGCTTATTGCGATTGATATTCTGAGCCTTCAGGTAGGCCGTGTTGGCCACCAAGTTGTCCAGTCCAGGCAGGGTATCCATTTTGGATTGTATGCTGTCACATAGCCTACATGATCAACTACACATGCAGCTCAATCATCTGCAGGTTCCAGGCACAACTAAGCACCTGAAGCACCTGCATGCTGAACGTCCTCTACCGCTTGTGCCTATCCTCTTGTAGCATTAAAAGTAGTACTATTATTGGGGATTTGCCATCAGCTGAGTGTCTTTGCATGCGTATTTGTAGACGCCACTAAGAGAAAGCAACTTATCTGGTCTAAACTTAAGAGGCTTTAGGCCTGTCTATTTTTAGGAGATACAAAGTAACTGTGTGTGCAGTAATTGGGCTGCCAGCATGACACGATGATGTGGCAGATCCTGACCGTAACAAATAATGAGTGATTTTAGCTTGTTATGAGATAAAGAAGCCACTGAGATGAGTATAATATGTGAAGTATGCTCACTTCTTTGCTTATTATAGGAGAAAGGGTGGGGGATTACAGATACTGAATTAGTCCTAATTAGTTAAGTAAGCAGCCTAAGATATTAATTTTCCTCACAGACTTTTAATGTAGCTCTCATGGGAGTGAAAGTTGTACAGCTCTGATGCTCAAAATAACAAATCTTTTCAGCATCAGCAGCATGAAAGGTACACCTTTTTATTTTCCCTCCGCATTCAGCCACATCACTGGCAACGCAATTGAATTATATGCACTCATCAAGATTTATTGTAGTCATTTTATGTTTAAGATAATTACAAATGACACTATTCTTTCTGTTTCTAACACTACCGTCTACAGAGGATTTGGACAAAAATAACATGAACACCTGCACAAATGGTTAGACATTACAATTGAAAAGCTGACATTTTTCAAGGTTTTCTAAGGTTGTGTCAAATAATGCATTATATGGTCAAATACCTCTGCATGCATTCTTCTGATCAATAATTAAATCCACACCTCACAGATTTAGTATTATTTTATATTATGCACTTTAGGAAAGTAGTTATGTAGTGTTTATTGCATAATCAAGCGACTATGGCTGAGTACTGTATTTCTGTTCTATTAAAGCAATGTGTCAATACTAATTACAGCATTTAGTGAATAATTGATTGGTCAATTGTCAGAAAGATAATAAATATGTCTCCTTGTCTAACATTATAGGTAATCATATATATTAGCAGAGGTTTTTAGGTACACCCCCTTGGGCTTTAATAAATGGTTTTCCTAAGTTTAATAGACTGAGACATTATATAATAAATGGCAGAATATATAATGAAAATAATCATTAGTTGCAGCCATAATACTTTTTGTCAAATCACAATAAGGGTCCTTTATGTGGCATTTTGACAGAAGATGAAAGCGAAGGGAGTGCTTATTTTTCACTTCCTCGAATGATGGTTGTTTGAGGCAATGACCTTCCCCTCATTAGGCTCATGTTTAAGTGAATTATCCTGTTCAGTCTTCCTGACTAACAATGTTCCATGACGCTGCAACTGCAAAGGGTAACACTGATATGTTCCGTATGAGTGTGACTGCAGAAAATAAAACATTTTATCATGTTTGTTTATCATGTGTTTTTGCTAAAAAAAATATTAGAAAAATAAATGTGTAACATCCTGCTGGACAACTGCTTTGTGTTTGTAGTGATGGAAGAGGTATTCATATATATTACTCAAGGACAACGTTTTTTTTTAAAAGCATGACAAAATATGTTACAAGTTGGCCATTCAAATACGTACTTATATAAATGCTATCACTTGAGGTAAATTGTGCTTGATCGAAGAAATGTGGTAACTGACTCCACTCAAAGTGTTACTATTATCATTTGTATTGCTGATTCATCACCATCTAAGCAGAAAAGTACTTGACTTTGTCCACGGGAGTTGAGCCTGACTGTAACAAGGCCAACCTCCTTATACATGTTTAACAAGTGTTAGTTAGCATGGCCGCCTTCCAGGTAGTTCACTCAGACTACCAAGGTACTTATAGCAATAAAGGGTTACTTAAGGATTGTATAATCCATTCTTTAACTAGACATTACTGTTTGGGGAATGCTAAATCATTGTGAACTCCAAAGATAATGTTTAAGATATTCATACTTTTAAAGGCCGATTGTTTTATAGCATCGGCACATTTAAATCTAGGTCTGATGGGTCTATAGCTCCAGCACATCAGCTGAGTCTAATATTTCATTCAAGAATATAAATATGTTTTCAATAAGAGGCAAAACATCTAAAATGATTTCTAAAGACAAGCAGTGTTAAATTATCAATAATAATAAATGTAAACTACTATTTACCATGTTTCCACTTGTTTATAGGAATTATTTAGCAATCCTGAATTACTGGATGAACAAATACATGTTTACAGCTATACACAGTTCTTTTATTTTTTTAAAGTCACATGTTCAGGATGTGCTCGACACCACCACAGACAATAACATAAAGCTAACATGTGACCAAACACTGAAACAAGGTTCATCCACCTCTTCATGATTCCTCCAGCCACATCCACCAATCAGTGACCAAAGAGTCTGCACCATTTTATTTTGTCCATCGTCCTCCTGACACTGGGACAACTGGAACATGCATTGATAGGTAGGAGGGACAGTCGCCAGGGTCAGTGGCTCTCTGCACAGGACGCTGCAGTGATCATTGTCAAGTCTCAAACCACTTTTAGGTGCACACAGGTGTCTCCTGAAGATCCAGACCGCCTGGAGTTATTTGCCGATTCTCTGAACCACCCCAGTCCTGCTGGCAGAGGGGACAGCGATTGTTTCTGCTTCACCCAAAGGGACATGCAACAGTTATGGAAGGAGTGGTTGCACTCTCCCCATACAACTGAGAGATGAAGAACATAGAAGAAATTGGGAAAGACAATGAATGAGTTTGTCACACAGAATATAAAAGTACAACTTTTTTATTTAGTGAATGGTGAAAACTAACTTCCTTTCAAAGTGCAGGTGCTTACATTTGTGTTTTATCTCAATCTCTTCATAAAAAGGCACAATCTTTGGTATCTAGGTGATTCTTCAGTACAATCAAACAAAGGAACATGACACTAATTAATGGTATATAAATGGTGTATTAATATAGATTTACACTAGTCAATAAGAAAGCACATTAACTGCATTCATGTGTAGATATAGTTTATTCATTTGCAATAACGCTAATTTTACTTTTGTTTACATCTTTAGTTTATACCTTAATTTAACTTGTACTGTTTATTTTCAAATGTTTAGATCTTTGTGTCCTCTTCTTATTAACATATTCAATTATTATAATTCTAAATTACAATTATATTAACTTGTCAGCAAATGCTTTTGTAATGTGTGTGTATCATACATATAGATCTTGAGTTAAATATCTGTTGGCAATATGCCATTGCCTACTATTATTAACTATATAATGTGCGTCACCCAAACAAAACAATGATAAATATGCAAATTCAGTGTAACGTCAATCATTGAAATGACATGAAACGACCAACACAACCCCTCTCTATGACCAGCTGCTTTAGTATGTTATTTTTGACAGCTCCGACCAATTAGCTAATGCTAGCTTGTTGGATCGACCTGCCATCTATGGGTTTGTTTGGTGATTAAAACACAGCTGTAACATATTGTAAAGCCAATATAGTCTTACCAACACAGTCCTCTTGTTTGTTTTCCGCCTGGCATCGGAGACAAGCGTCTGCAAACAAAGAAAAACATGTTTACAGAGACGCTGGTCCTGTTACTTCAGGCACTAATGCTGATATTAGCCACGTTAGCTCCACCAGCCCGGTGTTCGAGGCTAGGCTAGCCGAGCAACAGCGTCGGTTCCTCGTACTCACCCATCACTTGTACCCGGCAAATGGCACACGTATCACACTCAACGTCCCAGCTCCACATCGCCACAGCATTCCACTTCTTTAGGGAAAACATTTTGTCCCCTCCCGACTTAGAGCTTAAAGAAGTGTTGTGAGAGAGGACAATCGGCGGCTCGTCACCGTCATCCATCTCTGCTGCACAGTTAGCCAGGCTAGCTAAACAAAATGGACCGTAACAGTTATAAGCAATGCTAATGCTAGCTGGTCTTGTCTCCATAGAAACAAAAGATGGCGCTGTTCTTCCAGTGTGTGAATTACATGGATTTATTGACAGCTTCTTAGTCAACACACTGCAGGTATTGGGGATATTTTGAATGTGTAGCCTTTTTTGTTTTATCCACACTGTTAGACATTATTATTATTTTCAGCCTACCTATTTACAGTAGCCTATCGTAACTTCAATATTACAGTGAATTTGCTTTACATAGCCTATGTTACATTGTTTAATAGTTGATGATTTAATATGTTTGGAAGTATGAAAGCCTACTGTAGTAAACTTTTTACTATAGTCTCTCATACAACAAAGAATCATTTACTGTAATAAACATTAGCCTTATGCAAATTTAAACACAGCTTTACTGGATTTAATGGCTCTTATAATAAATAGCAATTAATTTAATCAAAAAAGTATCACTCTGTGCAGTGTAAATAGCATGTATTAATGTTTAAAATAGCATTGACTAATTAACATTTTGTCTCATTAAATTACAGTAACCAATTATTGTTTTTTAATGCAGTTCATACAAAAAAGGTGAACAAAAGCATTGTTAGTTGACAAATGCCCATATGAACTCAGTTTATAAATAGTGATCAAATGTGTTTCCCACACACACACTTAGTTTCTTCTCATTTCAGTTAGTAAAAATGACAGAGAATGAGGGAATGTTGTTTACTTTAACTTAAAAAACTAAAGGAGATGGAGATGTAAAGGTTATTAAAGTTTCTCGTCAGAAGCTTCTTTTGGTGTTATAAGGATGACCGAGTGTCAATGACATCTCTTTTATAATGCAGTAGGGCTTTGACTAAACCACATTAAGACAACTGTTTATACAGTAATAAAGCTTCTCCAAGTATACAGTGGTGATAACCTCCAATAACCTCTTCTGGCTTTGCATGCAACTTCTGTGTAAACCACTCTGGATTATTTACAACTATAGTTGAATACTTACC